GATATTTATATATTTATAAATTAATAATTATCTATAATTATCTCCAAATTTTTCTTTCATGAAATTTATTACTTTTTCATTAGCTTTTAATTTTTTTTGATTAAAATTTAATACTTGTAAATTATTTGGATCTGTTGCCCGTGAAAGTGCTACATATAATTGTTCACTTTGAAAAATATTATTACAATCTACTACTAATCTAAAAATTGACATGCCTTGTGATTTATGTATAGAAATACTATATCTTAATATTAATGGTAATTGTTTACATGTAGCCATTATAACACCATCATTATTTTTTTTAAAAAATTTTTTTGGAGTTATTTCTATTTCTTCTTCTATACCACTAAATTTAACAATAGGTTTTAAAAAAACTGAAGCTACATTTTCAGGAACTTTGTCTCTATAAACAATATTTCCATTTTTAAATTCAACCACTTTTCCTTTAGTTCCATTGACTAATTTATTATTTTCTTTTTCATTCCAAATATATAATACTTTTGCACCGATTTTTAAATTCAATGTTGATTCTGATAATGTACTTTTATCTAGCCATGCAATCAAATCTTTATGTATTGGTTTTTAATTTTTATTACTATTTTTTCCTGCAACAGACCATTCTTCTGCTTTAAATATTATTATTCTACCAGGAAGATCATTTAATTTATTTTTATTACATATTTCAACCTGTCGAACAGTTGAAAAAAGTCTTGTTGGATTATCACCATCTTCATATTTAATTTCTCGTGATAAACTTTTAATATATTCAAGAAAATCAAGATCTATTTCTCCAAATCTCATCTTATTAAGACCATCGATAAAATCCATATCTGTTTGTCGATATGGTTTTTTCAACATAACATATTTCTCAACTACTGAATCCCAAACTTTACTTTCAAATGCATATTTTCCTCTAACGGGTCTTAATTGTAAAAAATCACCTGATAATACTAATTGAATTCCACCAAATAGTTTTTTATTTTTACTATTTCTCATGCAATCTGATCAATGAAATCAAATGTTTCAGCATCTATCATAGAAATCTCATCAATTATCAATATTTTTGTATTTATCCATTTATTAAAATAAAAATCATTATTTTCTATTAAAGAAATTATTTCTTCGAATGTTTTATCCTTAATTTCAATATTTGTATAACTGTGTAATGTTTTACCACCTATATTCATTGCAGATAAACCTGTTGATGAAGTAACACCAATATTATTTTCACCATATTTTGCATATAATTTTTTAATCAAAACATTTAATGTAAAAGTTTTTCCACACCCCCCTGATCCTGTAAAGAACAATGATTTTTTTTCATTCATAACAATATCAATTATTTCTTGTTGTTCTGGTGATAATATTTCTTCAGGTTTTTTATTATCTTTTTCTATTTCATCATCTTCTATAACATTTTTTTTACTTGGTTTAAATTTTTTACTATTATATTTTCCTTCATTATTTTTACGTTTAAGTTTACTCATTTTGATAATAAAATTATATTCAATCATTAGTTTATTTATAAAAATAAATGATTAATAATAAAATTAATAATTTTAAACATAAGTGAAAAAAAAATAAATATATTTACAACTATAACATTTTCACTTATATTTTAAATTAAATAATAAAAAAAAATAAAATATATATATAAAAAAAAATTAATAAAAAAAACCATTTATTTGATCCTCAACAAAACCCAAACTATTATAAAATGAATTATTCATCACTGTTAAAATATTACTATCATTATTATTTATATTACTATTAAACCCTATTGAAATATCACTACTATTATTTATAATATTATTAGAATAAAACCCTAAATCTTCATTTTTAAAAAAACAATCAT